GAGTTCCATGAAGCGTCTATTTTAAAATGTCTGTTAAGTTCAGAAAAAAAAATAATCCTGGTTTTCTCAGACATCATCACCATTCATACTTATTTGCCCCTAAACTGTCTAAATGTTACCAAGGTTCCAAGGATAATGGCTTAAAAAAATAACTTCAGGATAACATTCCATGATGTTGCTTACATTTTCCTCTCCAGTCTCTTGAAGAGAAGCATTGTCTTCAAGGTCAAAGCAAAACATTGGAGAGGAATACAAGCAGTCCTCGGGTTACGTCGGAGATCCATTCCTACGGCATGACGTATCACAATTTTCTCCGTAAGTCAGAACCCACCTACATAAGCACCTACATCACTTACATACACAGCAGTAATGAAGTGAAACAGTAAAAAAATTTAAAAGAAAGGTAACCATTCCTGATCTTTACTTGTGGTAAATAAATAATAGAAAACATAAAGCACATATGTACACACATCGAAATGACAGGACTGCTTTTTTTTTTTTTTTTTTTAATAAATAAATGGGAGATGGTGACATAGCCAAGAAATGACATACGTTGAGTCCAACGTAACCCGAGGACTGCCTGTAATCAGAGCGAAATAGATGTATTTTTCTTGCTAGTTCTTTGGTCCTTGGTTGCCTCATAAATAAAACAGAGCTATAATAACCAAGCTCTCACCAAGAGGTTGTGAGGCTCACATGAAACAATGGGCAGGAAAGGCTGTTATCCACTAAGTTATATTATTTAAGACATTTCATTATTTAAACATTTATAGGTAGCATTAGTCCAGGAGTCATGATTCTGTTGGTCCCAAGGCACCGTATGAAATATCTAAGGGTTTTCTGCGCTCCCAGTGTCCAGAGCTGCCCCTTTTAGACCGTCTCTGTAAGGCCACAGACACAGGCAGACAGGAGAGAGCAAATATGTAAACAGACAAAGCAGCCACCAGGCCTCCTGAATTATTTAAAATTTCTACACCTTATCTGCAAAACAAAACCATTTCCAGTTACACAATGCTATAATTTTATCATCTTATAAAATTTATTTCTGGGAAGGTAATAACCCACAAAGCAACATCAAATTAAGAAAACATCATAAGGTCCTTAAAATTTCTGAATAGTCAAAGCTTTACATGTAGGTTCTATTTTAAAATTGGGATGTTTGGTGGAAAAGTTGGCTTAGCTTGATTTAATTACATATTACAAGTGATTTTCAAAACCCACCAGGGCTATATTCTGTTTGAAGGGAAATATAATAGGATAATACTTGTGAGGAAGATAAGTCTTGGGGTCAGGTAAGACAAGTCAATCTCATCAGAATAAAAAAACTGTACACTAATGCTACCTCAAAGCAGTATAATGTGGGTACCTTCTTACACCTAACCTATTCTTCCTCTTCTCATTCCTTCCTCTTGAATTGAGGGGGTTGTTTGACCTCAAATAGTATTTATGCCGAGTTTCATATCCAAGATTTCTTTTAATCACCACAGAAAGTCATTGAACCTTCAGCAGGAAATTGACTGCCAGGAAACAGCTGAGTCGGCATCTGAAAGGGCATCTGGTGCTCTAGGGAAGAGGACTGAGCCGGGCAGCCTGCGCCATCCGTAAATATATGGAGTGCTTTGTGGACAATGTCCCTGTGTTCCTATGTGGTCCTCTTTATGAAATTGTGTCTTAATCAAGTGCCCCATCAGAAAAAAGGATGGTTGTACTTTGTCACTCCTGAGTACTGGAAATGTGGGAAGAGAGGCAGTGAGAGCAACTAGGGCTGCGAGTCCAGGCTGGCCTTCCCTACTGAGCCAAGCAGCTATGCACAGAGGGCTCTTCAAGGACCTACCTGGCCAAAATACATCTGTGGTGACCCTGACCACCTCTCAGGCCAACTGACATAGCCACTGTTTCTCACTCTTTCCATTTGAAAACAGAACAGGGGCCCTGTCTCCGAAAGTTCACTAGGAATGTCTACTATCCCCCAGAGGAAGGATGGGCCTGGACGGCTTCCTTCCACCTTCCTGATTCCACCGTTAACACGGCGGAGCTGCCGCTTTCTGTTGGTTGCTGTTGACACTCTGGAGCCCCTGTGCTCTCAGGGGCACTGAATGCACGGAAGCTATAGAAAGCCCATGCCTTTTGAGTCCATGCGTGTTCTTAGCTGAGAATGGATTCACAGGAGGCTGGGGTAAGAGACACACATCCAAGAGACAAACCCCACACTGAACTGAATTTGGAATTATCCAGACACTGAGGCCTGTGGCCTCCACTTCCACTAGTAAGAGTTCTTGACTCAGAAGGCCACTCATGTAAGACAGGCTACATCTCACTGGTTTTTAGATGTGTCTGCATCCCAAATGTGAAGAGCTTTGGCTGCAACTGGAGTTAGGACCTGTGTATGCTTATATTTGACCTTTAGGATCTTCTTAGCACTAGATAATACAGTAAAATCATTTTCTTCCCCAACTCTGGCTTAATGTCTGAATCACTGATCATTAGCTCAGCCTGAGCTGGCATAATACAATACATTGAGACACAACCATCCTTTAACTCATGAGATCTCGTGGTTAACTCTGATTCCAGGTTTCATCTCTTGCTTCCTTCCTTTTCTTCTCTGCCTCTTTCTCTCTCTGTCACTGTCTCTCTCATATATATTTATGTATTATCTCTGTTGAAAAAAAGTATTGCAGGTATCAAAGGTTAAAATATATTAGAACGTAAGCATGGTTTGTCTGTACATATTGAGCAAAACAAAGTATGTATTTACTGTTATTTAGCCACAATGTTAGGAAACTGCCCTTAGACATACTCTAGAATTTTGGAAATTTAGGCAAATCATTTTTAGTGTCTATGTGCAGGATTATTTTAAGCTCATTATAATTTAATGTCATTGCTGTAGTTAAGATATCAGCTACCAATTACAATAATATTTTATTTACTTATATATAAAGAACCATTAGATTAAAATTATCTACTATATCTCAATTACATTGTAATAAAAAACTCATTAATATCTTTCAGGATAAAATTTAAAATAAACCAGTTACATTAATAATCTTGATAATTTTGCAGTGAAATAATCCTTTGTTGTCAAGTATAAATACTTCATATTTTTAGTATGTTTGTAAGCTAACAATAGAAAAGCATGCTAAATTCCAAATCAACAGTGTTCTCCTTAGTTTAAGCAAAGAATTAAGTCTAAACTCAGGGTAATATCTTTAGAGGATAGACAGCTATTGATTTTGGCCTGCTACAGCTCTGGACACATCCCATCCAGTAGCTTTTGTGGGCATATTTAGTCCATGTAAGCTTTGCTATCTTTCTTCCTAACTGTTCCTTCCTTCTTTTAGCAATGACAATAATTAAAACAGTAAAAAAAAAAAAAAAAAAAGAACAAAATAGATATGGAAATTAATTCCATAAATAGAATTTCTAGGTAACTGAACTTTATTAAAGTAAAAAAACTTTAAAAATTTTTCATTAAAATATTAATAAAATATACCTAAAATATAAAGACTATAATTACATATAGCCACAGTTTTAAATTTCCCTAATGAATAACTGTTTTAAGTTATGGAACACTGATATTGTTTGGATTTATTCAGTCACTCACTCACTCACTCATTCATCCATTCAAGCTATTTATTGAGTGCTGCAATGTCCCAAGGACTGTGAATGGCAGCAGAGACAGAGCAGTACACAAAACATACAAATAGTGCTGCCCTGCTGTCACATTCTAGCTGGTATTTAGGATGTTTATCTCTACAACAGAGGGACCCTGACTCTTATGGTTTTGGATGTTCTTTCTCCTTCCTTTGTTGCCAGTTGTTACCTCTTACTGACACCATGTCTCTTCATCTGATCTGGGTCACCATCGCAGGCCTTTTCTATATCCCTGGATGGAGCCAACTAGTGCACCTGAGGCCTATAGTATGTTCCCTGCCTTTCCAAGCAGCTCCCTCATTCCTACTATGAATTGGGGGTCTTCCCTCATTTCCTTTTTTAAATTTTTTATTAGGGTGACTCAACTCTAATGATCTGATTAAATTATCAGGTCCAAAGGTCTCTGTGACATTTTTCCTGGAAAGACAAAGCATCTAGGTGCATATGACTCTTAGAAGAGTAGTTATCATCAAGTATTATTACATACACACATTACAATCCAAAACATTACCTTGTAGTGGGAGCTCGCTTGATAATGAATAACTAAACTTCCACAGAAACTTTAAAAGGCATATACCTAAACTTCCAGAAAGGATAAAAGTCAGTTTCTCCATATATCCATGTTTTGACCATGGACTATTAGAAGTGAAGCAAGAGGAGCAAGAATTCTGAGCTACCTTTAAGGGAATGGTGATAACTAAGGTGAAAAGGAATATACACTGATGCATATGACATCAGAGGTGGAAAGGGATCATGCTGTGAAGCCTGCTGGTTAAGCATTCGTTCTGGGACCAGACTGCTATGCCCCTTACAAGTGTTTGACCTTGTCCTATCTATTCAATATCTCCATGACTCAGTTTACTCACTTGTAAAATAGTACCTACTCTCATGGCTTTATACATCAGGCTCAAATGAATTAATATAGGTAAAATGCTTTGTATTATGCCTGGTCCAGAGTAAACACTTGATAAATGTTACTTATTATTACCATCCTAATTTCTTCACTTATTTTTACAGATGAAGACACAGGCCCTAAGACTTTAAGTGAACAGAAAGTTAGAAGTAATATCAATCCCCAAACCAGGAATCGGGTTCTCAGCATATTACACAGATTTTTTTTTATATCCTGCTTAGTTAACAAATAGAAATAAATACTGAAATCATTTTAATGATCATGAAGAGGCTATGCAGTTACATATGTCTCTCTTACCCTCTAAACTGAATTATTCAAACACACCTTTGCCCAGTTACCTCCAATATCCAGTGAATAGGATTAATTCTCCAGAAGCGTTGGAAAGTCAAGTAAAGCTTAACTTGATGCCCCAATAGGGCACCGCTTGCTTCCTTACCTTAAACTTGTCAACTTCAGCTTTTGAACATGTCGCATGGTATGACAGCACCTGATTCAAAAGGAAAGGGGAAAAAAGGTTTAATAACTAGACATGATTCTATTTTCTGAAATTCTCCTGGCTTAGAAATAAACATTGCTCATGAATATCACCTTGACAAAATAGTGGATTTTAATGCACAACAAGAATTTTCCATAACACTCTATGACACAGATTGTCATCTATGCAATTAGTGGAATCTGTTATGATGCTAAATGGGATTGTAGCTCACATTAAAGGCTAAGTATTTTACATGAGGATGCTTTTATAGGTAGTTATTTTATCAAAGGAACATGATGTGGCTCAAGATCACAGGTCCCAAAGGATGTGAATACTAGGCCTGTGAAATGTTCTGGAACATACTAGTAAATAAATCAAAAGGTAGTGTGTGTGTGTGTGTGTGTGTGTGTGTGTGTGTGTGTGTGTGTACTACAGCAGACACTGTGATTGCTGACTCAAGTTCTATCTCTGGTCTATTCTGACTCGCCTGCTCTTATTATACAAAAAAGATTATAACGTTATGCCCAACTATCTGCAATGTTTTTTAGAAGAGGCTTAGATTTCCCTGTCTTATTGACATCGGCCTTAGTATAAGACAAGCTTTAACCAATGGAATATGGGGAAACATGACTGATGACACTTTTGAGCAGTCTTTAAGGACCATCATGTGGTTCTGCCATCTCCATCTTCTCTCAGCTGTGGGAAATGCACGGCCTGAGAAGGGCTGCACTCACCCAAAATGGTGCATTGAGCAGAGCCGCAGCACAACTTGCAGCTGATGAGATGTCAATAATTAACCTTTGTGGCTTATCAGCCCATCATAACCCAGTTTGAAGGCTGCCTACAGCTAGGAGTGGTCATATGGGGTGGCCAGGTGACAATGCTGGTCAATGAGATGTAAGTGGGAGTGTTGGGGTTGCCTTTGTCTTATCCTTTCTCTTCCTCCCTGCAAAACATAAGTGCAGCAAAATCTGGTGTCTATGAGTATGAATGACTTGTTGTGGATAGTGCAGTAGAAAGGGAAAGAGAAAGGAGCCTGGCCCTGGACTATCCTGCCTCCGACTTCTTGTTATGTAGGAGAAATAAACACATGTTTGCTTGAATCAGTACTGGCACATGATAAAGTATGTTATATATACCAACATATACACACACATCCTGTATATATGTTAGATCCTTTATATTACTAATCACATTATTAATCTATACAATTTCAAATAAAGAAGTCTGGGAGCTGAAACCGGTTTGGCTCAGTGGATAGAGCGTCGGTCTGTGGACTGAAAGGTCCCGGGTTCGATTCCGGTCAAGGGCATGTACATTGGTTACGGGCACGTCCCCAGTAGGGGGTGTGCAGGATTCAGCTGGTCGATGTTTCTCTCTCATTGATGTTTCTAACTCTATCCCCTTCCTTTCCTATCTGTAAAAAATCAATAAAATATATTTTAAAAAATTTTAAAAATGAAGTCTGGGAAATGCTAAATAGCTCTTCCACTAATCTTACATTTAGCTTTGCAAAATACAGGTTTTATTTTTTAAACTCAGCATTTCCCAAGTCTAATTTGCTATAAAACTTCCTTTTAGGTGATATATTAATCTAGTAACATCCCCATCTAATAACATATTGACCAAGAACTTGGAGAAATGACAATCCAAGGCATGTACCATCTGTGTGATCGAAGCAGGGCCATTTTCTCTCTCAGTGGTTACAATACAGACTTTAGAGCAAAAACAAAAACAAAAACTCCTAGGCACACAACAGGATGGTGATTACCAGAAGGAAATTGAGTGAAGATGATAGGAGAAGGTAAAGAGGAAATAAATAGTGATGGAAGGAGAATTAAAAACAAAACAAAACAAAACAAAAAAAGAATATACATCTAGAGCCAGACTGCCCCTCTCAGCTACTGGATTTTGGGCAAGTGTTTTAATTTCTTTGGGCCTCATTTGTAACATAGTATAATAATAACACTATACAGGCATCTCCTATTTAACATCAGTAACCTATTTTTGAAAATCAGAGATTCTATTCGAAACACCAATAGAGAGCCCATTTTCTTAATTGGAAAAATTATAAGATATTATAAGACTTGCAACCACTTCCTAAAACTTAATAAAAGAAAGTAAAATTCATATGTATATGTGAACAAAAAATAATATTTGGAAATAGATTGTTTTAAGTGTTACTTAAAGTCAAAGGCTGACTTAGTCATAACCAATATAGTTCTTAACAAAAAGTTGTTTTATAATCAGTAGTATCTTCTCTTCCATTGTAAATATTCTAATCACTCGTTTCTTTTCCCGGTGTTTTCAGCACCTTTTCATCTTTGGGAGAGACTGTCAAATACTAAGTAAAACAAGAGCTGAATGTTGAAGGCGTGGTGGTGACTCAGTGAGGACAAGTTGTCTTTCTCAGAGCCAGCAACCCCTGAGAGGCACACCCTCACTGTGAAATTCCAAGTGGTTCTCAAAATGTTTACACATGATTTGGACATTTTTTAGACCAATTTAATTTGGAATGTAAATAAAAACTTTCACATGCCTCCTTTTGTTAAAAAACAAACAGAGTTTTGGGGACAAAAATATAATTTTCCAATATAAACAACGACATAAAATGTTGTTATGAGAGATAAATATATTCTGTGAGATTTAATAATAAAATTTAAACCAAGACTTTTTGTTTTTTTACTGGAAAAATTCTGTGGTGGGAATCTATACTTCAGACAGTTCTTAGAAAGATTAAATGGTTAATACATGTTAAATATCTGGCACACAAATAATAAACTTATGTTTATTATATTAATATTCAATTACAATTCTACCATATAAATATTTGGTAGAGCATTATGTCATCATATTATCTTCACTGTCTCATAATTACAAATTGGGATTTTCATTGCAAAAATAATGAAATAGATTTTGTTCTTTTGACTTGGTTTTACTTTGGCAAACTTTAATTTGGCTGTCATTTTATTAAACTCTCTTACTACTTACAAGTCTCTTTTTGCAAATTCAACTTTCAAAATTTACTTTTATTTACTTAAAAAACAAAACTTTTCACAAAAACTCAGGTTGAAATTCAAAATGTCTGCCACCAGGTGGTGCTTAACCTGGCTTTTACTATTTAAAGCATTCTGCCCACTACTCTTACTTAATTTTCCCTTTATTGTTAAAAAGATAAAATATTAACTCCATTAATTAAAAATCTTTGAGTCAGTGAAGCATACTAAGACTTTTGTCCACTTAAGATTTTGTTTTGTATGTCATTATTGGGTTGAAGTTCTTTGTATATTTTATTTTATTATTTTTAAGTCAAATTTATTGAGGTGACATTGGTTAATAAGATTTTATAAGTTTCAATTTACATTTATTTATTTATTTATTATTTTTAATGTATTTTATTGCTGTGATTATTATAAATGTTCCCCATTTTCCCCCTTTGCTCCCTCCACCGGGCTCTCACCACACCCCAGGCCTTCACCTGTCTATTGTCTGTGTCCATTAGCTAGGCATATATGACATTCAAGCTGTATATTTTAGATATAAGTTCTTTGTCAGATGTCTGTTTTGAAAATATCTCCCAGTTTATGGCTTGTCTATCAAATATTTTCCTTTTTATTGTTTTGTTTTTTAATTGAGAAAGAATTCCCACCATCTAGTTAATTAACACATCCATATTTCATATATTTATCTTTTTAAAAATGGTGAGAACCTTTAAGTTCTACCCTTTTAGCAAATTTCAATTATATAATACAGTGTTTTCAACTTAGTTAAAGGTTTGTATCCTTTTACCAACTCAATTTTCTTTCAATGGGCAAAAATTTTCAATTTTAAACAAATATAAATTGTCATTTTTTATTGTTATTATTCCATGTGTTCTTTCTAATAAATTTTGCCTATCTTAAAGTTGTGAATACATATCTCATGCTATCTTCTAAAAATTGTATACTTTATCTTTTATGTTTTGGTCTATGATACATCTGATATTAAATTTGTGTATGGTGTAGTAGGACTTTTATAAAATGAATGCCTTGGTTACTTTGTCATGGAATTAAGGTTGCCAATCAGATGCGTTGGTAAGATTATCTTGGCTATCTAGGTGGGCTTGGATATGTGTGGAAGTTTGTTATAGAGGCCATAGGAAATGGATGTTATTAATCTGTTTCTCTCCTGGTCTCCCCCAGCTCCACCAATGACACTCTATCCAATCAATTGTTTAAACTGGTAAATTAATGTCTATCCTTGATTTTTCCCTTCTGATGACCCTCACATTGAACCCATTAGAAAAATATGTCATTTACACTCTGATATTTTGACTGTTTCCACCTCTATTACACAGGACCACAGCATCAGCCTCTTCACCTGGGATCTGGCAACAATCTCTCAATTTCTACCCTCCCATCTCTTTGGCATGCATCAGTCAGAATTATATTTAAGAAGTATAAATCATATCTTGCCATTCCCCCAGATGAAAACTCAACAGTAGCTTCTTATTACACTTAGAATAGTATCCAGATCCCCAACAGTGACCTGACAGATCCTGCACAACCTGACTCTCAGCACTCTCTCAACCTGAGCTTCATGCTTTGCCCTCTCTTCTACCTACTGCAGCCACGCTCACCTCCTTTGAATCTTCTACAGCACCAGCTCTTTTTAATTAGAGTCTTCCCCACCCTCACCACCTGATTGCTATTTCTATCCTTCTGAAATTAGGTTAAGTGTGCCTTTTCAGTGAGGTCTTCTCCTACGGCTCTCCATTTTTCCAAGTTAAGCTATTTCCTTCACATCACGTTATCACAGCTACGTTAATTTGTTCATCACCTGTCTCTCCCACTAGACTTCAAAAACCATAAGGCAAAGATAAGATCTGGTTTTGGCCACTAAGGTATATACTGTCCCTAGCAGTGTGCCTAATATTTGACACTAAGTATATATTTGGTGAATCAAGGAATAAAAACATAAAATATCTTTAAAGAATCTCTCCTCTTCCATATGATTAGTGCCCTTAATTGATG